GGCCATTTAAGATTATTTTTTAATTTAGTAAAATAATTTAAAATATTTACTTTGTAGTCTGTTTGTGCTAAACCCATGTACAAGTTAGTCCTAGAACCATGTTCAGGAATCCAAGAAATCCAGAGAGAAAAACATATAGTGACACAAACCATTCACTAGTGACAAAGAGTCAGCAAACTGTAGGAAAACAGAGAGCTTGTAATAATGAAAAAAGGACAGAGTTTTGTAACCAATCACTTATTTTCTTTTAAAAACACATAACCACATTAACTTTTGCTTTATACAACCATCTACAAACTATAAAACAGTACCACATTGTGCATTTTAGCCTACTTATCAAGAAGGGAACTCCACATGACATAAGAAATTCTACCCATTAAGAAGGAAAAAGGAGACAGCTAATAGCATAGTCACAGATACAACATGAGTCCCAGCAAGCATCAATTCCTTGACGTCACCTTTTCCATCAACTAGCGTGGAAAGGAAGAAAGCAAGCAAGGGAGGAAAAAAGAGGGAAAGAAATAATCACCCACAAAGGACTAGTCACAATCCATAGTTACTTTGACAACTATAGCTCAGGGTATCATAGTATAGTATTATTTGACCAACACAGTGTGGAGGGGGATGGGTGTGAAGGAAACACAAGTAGAGGGAGAGGGTTTGAAAAGAAACATACATTTGCACTTTAATTCCCTCCTAAATATTCTTCACTGATACAAGCTTCTGTGCTAATTCAGAAAATGGCAAGAAATTACTCTTCACAATGTGATAAAGCTTAAGAATTTTGTTCTTTCTGCAACTGAAATGTGAGTGGCTCACAATTTTACTTTACAGTTCAAAAGAATAACAATGCCATGAACAATTACTCTTTAGGGAGTTCCCACAACTTTCTCCCTATTCCCACCACTCTGGCACTGGCATTGCTATGGACAATTGGGGAAGTGCAGGCAGGGACTTCAGAGATAAAGATCAGGGGACAGTGAGATAAAATCCTTGCTCTTTCTGAGTCCTCATCCTTCCAGTAGTACTGCAGTCTGTCCTCTGATGTGTGGTGGTAGAGGATAAGGAATATAGTGAAGTTTAGTACAGTACCTCATTTGAAGGTGTATGAGACTGTAATTAGCAGACATACTGAATCCAAGGCAAACAACAGGTTATTTGATTGTCCAACTTAGGTGGATGGCACCACACAAAAAAATGAAGGTGGCATTGATTTAATAATAAAATAAACCAAAGGTTTACTACAGGAAACATGTTTCAGTTGAAAGTATAATGATTCTCCTTGCTTCAGGGGGAAATTCTCACCTTTTCCCTCTTACTTCCTCTTTCACCATAAGTAAGAAAATATATTCTGGAAAGCCGTCTTAGAGGGGACACTCAGTATCATGAGTTTTGACAATTCATATAAGGCATCATATAAGCCATACCAATCAGTTGGCTCTTCTCCATCACCAGGCAAACTTCTTGTCTTGTTTAACTCTAGCTCTTCTAAACCTGATGAGAGTCTTTTGCTTTTTAGTATATGGTGGGCAGTGTGGTTGATACTGGTTAGACTGATTTGTAACATGGCTGTAATATAATCCACTCTATCCCACACGACCATGTGCTCTAACATGGTAATACACTTCATGCATAAAGTTGGGAACTTTTAAGATTTAGAATCAAGATTGATATGAAATGTAGAAATATATTTGTAATTTAGAAAAGTTTCAATTCTTCTTGCTTTGGTGAATACAAAAAAAAAATTACCAATCAGAAAAAAAAAATGAGTTAAGTGGATGTGATTCATTCTTCATTACCTAACTTTTTCAAGTTCTACCAGAACTTCTATTTTGACCTGGTCCCTACAGACCTAACTGTTAACGACACTGGCTTCTTAATTAGATTTGAGAAATGTATGGTGATTTTTGTAGTTGAAAAAGCCAGAAATTCAACATGATTATTTTTTAATTTAAGAAGCTATCTTAATTTTTTAAAGTCCAAATGTTATAAGGCAAGAAGCACTTATTTTTTGAGAATTAGGTAAATTCCATGCAAACTACTGAAAAAACAATAACCTGGTATTCATTTAGGAATGTAAGAATAATCATTTCAGAGAATCCTAAGTTTCTGAATAAAATAATGTCATGGATAGGGTTATTTTCTATATTCTTTCCCTTAAGAATAGAAATTTTTCTAGTCAATGCTTAGAAAATGACATTTGGGAGTAAAAACCAATTTCCTGAATAATGCAAAGTAGAGGGCAAAATGACAAAACATACAGGCAGCTCTTCCCAGCAACAGTAACTACTGAGAGGGGTGGAGGAGCATCACCTGCATGCCATCAAGCACACACTTTCCCAATCGCCCTGCTTCTGCTGCCAAGGTTCAGTGTGTTCTCTGCTATCTTCAAAATTATTTGATTACTCTTCAGCTAAATGCCTGTTAATCTGCTGTCAGTATGGCCTAGCATTATTCTTACTTGCCTTATTGCACCTGTTCAGAAATTGGTGGACTGCTTTCTCTAGTGGTGAATATACTTTGGTCAAACCATAGTGGAAAGATACCATGTATGAACAAATTACTTCTAGTAAGAGCTCAGTTAAAATAGACAAAATCTCATGCTGAGAATATTGGGGAGTCATGGATCCTTAGGATTGGGTCTCATTTTCCTTATGTGAGGGTTCATGCATGTTACTGCTGAGTTGCTGGCTTCTGAATCTGAAGTGAAGCAGTTTGCCTCAGGGGTTTAATGAAAAAGAGCTAGAAAGGAAACCTGCACATGAGGCTTCAGCTTCTTTCTAATTTTACAAATAAGCACTATAAGCTAATGAATGGTGACTCATCCTTTGATCATTTCATTCTCACTGTAAGAAAGGAAATCTTCATTATTCAATGAATGGGATAGGCAGCCTTAAGGTTAGGTGCATAGCAAATAAACTTTTGTCTTTTAACTTCTCTATGTATATCAAAACTTTCCATACTATCATAAAGTTAAAAACTGAATTTTATTCCATTGTTCATACTTTCTTTCTTCCTTTGGGGGAGTATTTTAACTGATTTTAAAAACTAAGTGGTTCTCAAATAAAAATAACACCAGAATGTCTAACCCAAAAATCAGATGACATTTTACTTTTGGTTAAACTTGTAAAATGACTCTCCTGATACTCATTTTAAAAGTTCTATTGAAAATTTTGGTGTACAGCAGTCTCCGATAAGATTTTAGGTAGCACATAACACCCACAAGTGCTAGGGCATATAAAATTGAGAAAAGACAAATGACCATTGCCTTTCTGAAGGAAAAAATTAAATGTATATACTTTGCCTCCCAAACACTTCTGATGAGGAAAAGTACTCTTTTCTCTTTACAGCTTTAACAGGAAATAAAAGCTGTGGTGTTTGCACACATAGAAAAGCATCTGTCATGCTAAGCTGAAAGTTTATAAGCCTTATTTGTTAGTGGTTTTTGCCAACAGGAAAAGCACATCAGAAAAGGAATACATTCTATAACTGTATTACCTATGAAAAATTAATACTGTTTGGGGCCTGGACTCCTAACAGGTGGAGAAAAACCAAACTGGCCATTTATACACTGAGGTAAAAAACACTGGGAATTGAAATACCAAAGGATAACTAAGATTTTCTGTGTGTTACAATCCAAATTTACTAACAGAGAACGAAGCTGACAATTCAAATCGCTCGATACACAGAACCACCTATTTTATTTGGACAAGAAATGACTGTACTTCTCCATATAGTCAGTAGTAATTACTGCTATTGCTTGATAGATCAGTGATAACGCCCCCTGCACAGTTTTGAAGTATAAAAAACAGGTTAGGAAAAAATTCCTAAGTAGAAATAATGCAACCTTTAATTTACTAAGGATCACTAAATTGCTACCACTGATTTATCATAAGGACTCTAAAGTTAAAAAAAAATAAGCATATCCTCTTCTGTTTTGGGAAAAGGGACATGCTTGGCAAAATACAAAAGTCCAACAGAGTCAAAAGGTTGTATGTTTTTCAGAAAAAAAAAAAACTTGACTCAGAGAACAAATATTGAAAGCTTATCAGAATAGAGAAGGAAGAAACTCCTTTTGAAAGATTTGTTAGTTAACTGGTAGAATTTTGGTAGTAACAGTAACTTTGATATAGCCTACTAGAATTATGACAGGGATGAGTAAAAGATCTATGATATATAGGGGAAGGGTTGATGACAAAAGGGGTGAGTTAAAGGGTAGTAATCTTATGTTTTTAAGAAAAAGCAAGTTTTAACTAACAGCTGCCTTTCTACTTGTTTGATCCTTTGTCTAAAGTTAAGGAAAACAAAATAAAAACAAAACAACCCAGAAGTAGCCAGATGTGGTGGCTTCATGCCTGTAATCTCAGTTACTCAGAAAGCAGAGACTGAGAGGATCACTGTTTGAGGCCAGCTCCGGCAAAAAAAAAGTCTGCAAAACCCATCTCCATAAAAAGCTAGGTGCAGTGATGTGTGCCTGTCATTCCATCTAGGTGGGAAGCATAAAAAGGAGGATTGAGGTCCAGGTTGGCTGGGGCATACAAGACTATTTGAAAAATAACAAAAAACAAAAAGGGCTGCAGGCAAGGCTCAAGTGATAGAGTGCCTGCCTGGCAAGCACAAAAGCCTCAAGTTCAAGCCCCAGTACTAGGGGAAGAGGAGAGGGACAAATTTACTTTCATGAATTTACTGAGGTTGATTTTGGAATTTTCACCTGGGTCTTGGGGGGCATTAAAACATTTAACACTTTATTTTTTCCTAGTATTTCTATTAATTTTGTTAGATAATAAAGTGCCTTTGTGTGTCTGTCTGTCTCTCTGTGTGTGTGTGTGTGTGTGTGTGTGTGTGTGTGTGTGGTGCTGGAGATCAAACTCGGGGTCTCAAGCTTGCTAGGCAAGTATTCCAACCACTGAGCAACACCTCCATCCCTGAAATGCTAAATTTAATGGAGAACTTAGGAAGAAAGAGAATGAGACAAGAAAGTGAAAGTGAGCATTATATATAGAGCATAATAGTCTGAAATTTTAAAGAAATGTACTTTTCTATGTATGGCCAGGTTTAGACCCCAACATTTTAAATACAGGCTTCTAGTATGAAGGGCATAAAATCCAACGTTCATCTTTTAAAGAGAGAAATGGCTGACTAGGCCTTCTGTATCAATGTAATATGAAGGAAGAAGAACTTGTTCTACATGCTCAGAAAAATATGGTTTCCTCACAATGAACTTTTAACGTGATCAAATTCTGGCTAAGGTGGGTGAGACCAGAGGAGAAAGTAGTAAGGCTGTGAAGAGTCTCTGAAATAGTTCTGTCTTTCAGGTCAGAGTAAGTAAAGAGTACACTACAATTCCCTTACATACTGAAGCATAATCCGGCATAATAACTTCAGTCGTTATGGCTGGAATATGGGCAAATGTATCCCACGTCCATTTTGAAGAAAGTATCAGAACATCTTACATGAAGTTCACCCAGTTGCGTGGAAGTGTGTGGGATGCCTTGCTATGAGAGATGCTCAGGACTCTAAAGCAGCAGCAACATAAAATATAGTAATACAACTTTGGCTTCAAATTAAAAAGAAGAGAAGAAGTCAAACTGGTACAAGTTGTCTCCTGAAAGAGGTATGTGGGACTGACCGTCATAAATGCCATCCAACATTAGTTTTCCCCATCTTCTTTCACTGTTATCACATCATTGCACAGGAGTTATATCATTCTTTTATGGTTAAGTTTCATAAATAATGAGAAAACCATATGTAACAAATACATCATATTTCCCGCCCACCCAGCAACCCTCCCCAAAATAAGAAAAGTTACATCAAATTAAAAAGTAGCTTCGTGAATGAAGGTACTGCTCTAAGTTGCACTTTTCCTGCAAGTGCAGCCAGTGCCTTTGCGCTGGGTATGAAGGAAAGGAAAAAATTCTCCACATAAACTGACAAAAAATTTAAAAACCAATGTCCGGTTTCAACCAGTCAAAACCGGGCCAAGCAGAAGCCGAGATATCTCGGTACCATCCCATCAGAGGGTCCTTTCAATGCCTGTTCTTCATCCTCATAGGTATCTGTGTCCTTGTGATTGTAAACAATCCAAAAGTTACTATTTTTTTTGTTCCTTAAAATGTCCTCTGATTGGCAAAATGAAGCATTTGTTTTAAAAATAGAAAATTAAGATCAAACCAGAAGAAAAGAAAAGAAACACAGTGAGCTTGTTGGAGTCCATAGGATCCGATGTGGAAGAGCTCGGAAAATGTGTTATGTGTTTTCTCCTGTTTTTCGGTTGGAAAAAGGTACTAGAGGTTGCGTTGGTCGAAGAAAGAATCGTAGAGTAGGAAAACCAAGGATGTTAATCTAGACTTCAGAGAATTCAAGTGTTAGCTTCATCATCTGTGTCTTCTATTAATACCTTAGTGTCACGAGCCTTGGATCTAGTGGTAATAAGAGGAAAAAAAAAAGTACTTAGTCCATTACTAAAATACAAGCATATACACAGTATTAGGTACAATTCCGATCTTAACCACCATTAAACGTACATGTTAAACAATCACTATCCACTGCATGTGATGGACTATTCCTGGAGTTTCATATTCAATTTCAGGTATTATTGGAAAAACACTAACGGGAAGTAAGAACAACAACAGAAGGTCATACTTAACAGACAGAATAGTAATATGGAATAAGAAGATCCAAGTTTGAGTACTGACTTTGGTTTACAATATATCTCCAGTGCCCATTTCTATCTGTGTAAAGAAGAAATATCTATTTAATTTACTATCCCTTTCAATTCATGGACAGTGTGCATACCAATCAAATAAGAAAATGGATATAAAAAGAATCAATAAGGCATTAAGCAAAAATAAGGAACTATGATGAGGAAGAGAGAAATAATACCATTTGAAATATGTCTCAAAAAATAGGAGTGTGAGCAAACAGAAGACCAAAGGAGAGGTCTGACAGGTGTGCATCTTCAGAGAGCTACAAGTTATATGAGAGCCCAATGGGGATCAAACTGGTAAAGTGATAGTTTCGTCATAATGAAGCATATTTCAGCCCAACAGAACCTACCTACCATAGTAACTATCCAACAGGTACCTCATATAGTTATAAACTTCATTATCACTACTGATTGTCAGCACAAAATGATTATCTATTCAGGATGCTATGGAAGAGGTTCTTGCACTGGATAAAAGATGGGTACCTAGGTACCTAAAAGATTAGGTAATGTTAAAAATACTCTGCAACTCATGAGCTTCATTAGGTGAAAGCAGTACTTCACGAAATAGGAATCATTATTCCTACTTGACAGAGGGGGAAGCTGACATTCAAAAAGGTTAAGGATGTGCTAGAGGTTGCATGAATCATAAAGTCAAAGCTCAGACTCAGATCTCATTTAGATCCCCCATGCTCTCAGGTGCACATAACCTGCTCTATTCTAAATGCCTTCCTCTGGCTGCAGTCTAGTTTCCCAGAATTTTTCTAGTGAACACCTGAATTGCAGGAGAGCCTCTTTTCTGAAACCAAAAGTGTGTTTAGACTGCCATCTGCTGGTAACTAGTAAGGATTACACTTTCAAAATCAGGAGCTCCAAGACTGCAAACTACAAAGGGCCTCCATTTTCTCACAGCCCTTTGTAGCACTTATCTTGCCACATGTCTTCCCCACCCCAGCTTCTTTAAACTCTGCTACAAGTACCTTTGATGCTCTTCTACTGACCATCCTAACCATTCCTGACCCTTCTTATTTATTATTTTTTCTCTTGTCCAAGACTCAGTTCTTGCTGCTTTTCTCTCCTCCACCTTCTTTTCACAGAATTTCTAAATCTCTTCCTTAAAGCTATGAAAAGTTCTATTCTATTTCCTGTGCCCAGTGGATTACTATTAGCCACCTCCTGTTTTTTACTGCCTTTAAAATGTTTCCTTACATTTGGTTTACTTTAAGTGTCCGAGTCTGAATTTTCACAGTCCCACAGTTTAAAATATTTGTAATCACCTTCTGGTTGGTCTTCTGGCCTTTAATTTCCCTTTCCTAATATATCTTGCACAGTGTCATTAAAACGCTTTCCTGCCTACAAGATCAAGCTCACACTTCTTTTTTCTCCCCCCTGTACTGGGGATTGAACGCAGGACCTTAAATGCTCTACCAAAGCTTGCACTTTTAAGTTTTTGCGAATGATACTTCATCTACTCAACTAAATTTTTCTCACTACAGTTCTAGCCACATGGTTTTCTTTCTGCCCCTCATTTCCACCTTTATAATATTTACTAAGCCTCTAGCCTATTCCAGCACTTTGTTGTCCTTCAGAAAACTTGATGTTCAACTTAAGTACTCCTCTTTCATTCCAACCTGCTGGGCTATCTACTGTCTCTAAATTTCAAATGCAGTCATCATTTACTTTTATTTTTAGGAATATACAAAGTCAATAACTGATAAAAACGTCATTGTAAGTATTTAATAATATTCAATACTTATCAAGCTCTTTCTGTAGAGAAACTGGTGTAACTTGATGTAATAATGAATTTAATCCTCTTAATTACTCTATGAGCAGGAACCATACTAATCCCAATTTCTAGAAGAGGGACAATACAGAAAAATTAAGGGATTTGGCCAAGGTTACACAGATGACAGGATTCCTACAGATTATAAATTGAAGATTTGCATACAAAACACTCAAGTAAATCATTCTCTAATGAATTTTCCCCAGTGTACCTTTTAATACCCAATTAATAGGTAATGCATTAATGACATTTACTCTATGTATTACGGCAGCATTCTATAAGCTGGATCATATGAAACTGTTGCTTATTACTATTATTTTATTATTTTGGCAGTACAGGGGTTTGAACTCAGGGCCTTGCACTTACAAGGCAGGCACTCTACCACTTGAGCCATGTCACTAGCCCTTTTTGCACTGATTATTTTTTAGATAGGGTCTCATTATGCCCAGGGCTGCCTAGATCACAATTCTCCTATTTGTGCTTCCATGTATAGCTAGGATGACAGGTGCATGCCACTGTGCCCAGTGATTGGCAGCCATTGGTTGAAATGGGGGACTCATGAGCTTTTTGCTTGGGTTGATCTTGAACCACGATCCTCCCAATCTTTGCCTCCCAAGTAGTTAGGATTATAGGCTTGAGCCACCAATAGTAATACGAATAGTAATAGTCATGTATTAGTATTTTTTGTAGGTGAGTAATGGTTGAAAGCAATTTCATTTGGTTCAGTCTAATAGTTTCTTAGTGTAAGTATTATCTGCTGTCAAAAACCAAAGGAAATATGCCTTACAGAAGTGGAAGCTATACATACTGAGAAGCAAGGCGAGGCCGGCGCAGGGATATGCTCTGGTTGTTCTTCCATGACCGATTCTTTTGGCGGTTTCGTACTCCATCATCCTGATCCATCATCTGCTCTAGGAGTGTCTGATCATCTGCATTTAGTGGGGCTACAGAAATGTCCCGCACAGCACGGAATTCACCACAGTTATTTAGATGTTCATTCTCCAAGCGGAAGAAGTTCCACACAAAACGCCTTGTAGAGCAAACACATCCATTATAAAATTTGAATATATTACTACTACTACTCGTACTACTAACCACCCCTCCACCCCATCCCCAGAATATTATGTTTCATCTCATGGAAACAAAACAAGTGATTAAAGACTAAAATGAAACAGAGAAAGATGGAGTAGGTGTGAGGCGAGGAAAGAAAGAGTGGACTCATGGAATGCAGTTTTAAAGTACTCATTCTTTCACTTTATCCAACAACTATTTATTGAATGCCACTGTAAGAGAGGAAAGGCACTGAATGGGACAACAAACCCTTTGCTCTTATTTCAGTGGTGAAGACAGGTAACTGAACAGTAAGCTGATGAAAAGCTCTCTGAAGAAAATAAGGCAGGAAAAGGGCACAGAGTACGCTGTCAAAAAACTGGTTAGGCAAAGTGTCTCTGAAGAGATGGCATCTGGCAAAAACCTGAATGAAAAAGAAAGCAAGCAATGTAAAATTCCTGCAGAAAGTATCCTAGGCAAAGCAAATATCGAGTATAAAAAGGCCTAAGATGAAAATGCCTTTGCTGTATTCAACAAGAAGATCCACAAGACTAGAGTAGGACAACAAGATTAAAATGCAGGAGATAAAGATGGAGAGACAGAGGAGAGCCCTTACACACAAGGGCTTATAAACCACATTAGAGTTTAGATTTCAAGTGTGATGGAAAACAATGAGAGTGCTGAGCAGAAGGAAGGGGTAAATAGATCAAAAGAGAAGAGAACAGCTGAAGATGAATTAGAAGACTAGTGTAATAGTCAGGAAAGATGGGGAATGAGCCAATGGTGGTTAAAAACATGTGATGAGAAGTAGAAAGACTAGGGGTTTACTTATGAAGATGAAGCTGATAGGACTTACTGACATGGGATGTGAGTGGTCTTCAGGTTTTTTGTCTGGGTGAATGGTGACACCATTTACAAAGACTGGAAGAGTAAAGGTTGTTCCTATTAGGCTAGAGCTACTCATTAGATATCCAAGTGAAGAATTCAGTACTGATGGCTATGATGAACTTGCAGTTCAAGGGGGAGTTTGAATACTGGACACAGTATTTTGATTCATGGGCTTAGGAAAAACATAACTGGAAGACAGAAGAGATCAGATGGCTAAATCCTGGAGCACGTAATGCTTAAAGTTTGGGAAGAGGAAAAAGAATCAGGAAAGGAATTGAGAAGGAAAAGCTGGTGAGACAGGAAAGTGAAGTTTCAGAGAAGTTAAGAAAATGCTTTGCTGAGAGATAAAGTAAGGTAAGTACAGAGAACTGACTATGGGATTTAGCAAAATAAAATCTAAGAGCTCGCTGGGAGACTCTAGATTCAAATCATGACTACAACAGGCTTTTAAAGACCTTGTACAAGTTATTTAGCTCAGTGTCATCAGTAAAATGGAATAATAATAGGCCCTACCTCAAAAGATTGATATGAGGATTCAATAACTTAAAAAGAAGTAACTGTAAAGGCCTTAGACAGTGCTAAAGACACAACTGGTACTACACAGTACTTGCCTTATTATTAGTAGTAGTAACAAAAATGACATAGTTTGAGTACGGGAACAAACAGAATTGAAAATGAAGGAAAAAATGGAGAAGTGAGAATGGAGACAGCAGGTGCAGACACCTCTTGAAAAGGTTGGCTGTAAAGGAGAGCATAAAGATGGGCAATAGTTGAAGGGGGAACTAGATTCAGGGGCAGTTTATTGTTTTTGTTTGAAATGAGTGGTAGAACATTTGATTCTATGATTAAGCAAATGATTTCCTAAAAACGAAATAAAATTGTCAAGAATAAAAAAAGTAATGGAGCTTTTTGTAAAGCTCCCTCTTCCTCTTTCTCTCTCCCTCACCGACTCTCCCTCCCTCTTTTTAAATTTATAAAGCAGTAGACATGAAAGATAAAAAAAATGGATGGGGAGATGGCGGTATGGTAGGGGTTGAGGTCCTAGACCTAGATGTTTGGGAAAATGAAGAAGGGAAGGAGGGCTGACAAACTGTCCGCAGAGGGCACTGGCAGCAATGAGTATACAATTTCCAGAGTCATTCTTTACCTTTCAGGCTTAGCTTTATGTTTCCAGCTTCTATAACATTTTATCAGGCAATGTTAACCCATCCTGACTCAGAGGAATGCTAAACAACTATCTGAAAGTAACTTTACATCATTTCATTTGTGAAAGTTATTTTCATTGCATAAAGAATTCTAGGTAGGCTGGCATTTTCTTTCAGCACACCTAAGACTTCATTTTAACTTTCACTGTGGCTGTTGAAAAGTCAATTGTCAGTCTATTTGTCTCTTCTTTCTGGCCGCATTTTTAAAAAAAAAAAATAAGCATTCTAATTAAGTATAACACACACATATAAAAGTTTGCAAATCATAAGTATACAGCTTGATTAATTATCATAAAATGAAAACATTGCATAATTACCACCCAGAAATATGGAATACATTACCATATACTGCAAGCCACATTTTAAGGACCTTCCTATATTAGCTTCTATTGATTTTATTGACTCACCTCCTCTGGAATTGATTTTGCATACAGTATACAGCAGGAGTTACGATTCATTCTTTTACATATGGATACTATTGATTCTTTTGTCATAAATCGTATCAATATATATCAGATATGTTTCTGGACTCCCTACTCTGTTGCAATGGACTATTTGTCTATCTTCTCACCAACATGTACACTACCTTATTCACTATAGCTGTATGATTAGTCTATATCTGAGAGTATAAATCTTTAACTGTGTTCTTTTTAGGATAATCTTGGCAATTCTTGATCCTTTGTGTCATTTGTATTTCTATATAAATGATAGAACTGGCTTGTTAATTTTTATACACATACGTATCTTTCACCACATTTACTCATAGGTATTTGATATATTCTAGTGCTATTGAAAATATGGCATGTTTTAAAATTTTTCCTTTTTCTTATTATTGTGACTGTTTTCTAAAACAACTGATTTATATCAACCTTATACTCAGGGATACTGTGACAATCAATCTAATATATCTGCGAAATCTTTTTTGGTAGATACTAGAGTTTGAATTCAGTATCCTGCACTTGCTAGGCAGGTGCTCCACTACTTGAAGTCATGCTTCCAGTCCGTTTTTGCTTTCGTGGTTTTTTGGATAAGGTCTAGTGTTTCTTGCCCTGGTTAGCCTTTGATCACAATCCTCCTACCTATGGTCTCCCAAGTAGCTGGAATTACAGATATAAGCTACCACAATGGCTTATTTGTTGAGATGCTAATCTTTTGTCCAGACTGGCTTTAAACCACGATCCTCCCACTCTTCACATCTGAGTCGCTGAGATTACAGGTATGAGCCACTGTGCCCAGCCTATTTGTAAAAATCTTAAACCAGATGTGGTGGGTGGTGCATGTCTGTAATTCTAGCTACTCAGGAGGTAGAGGTAGGAAGACCAAGAGCTTGAGGCCAGCTGGACAAAAGTTAGCAAGACCCTATCTCAAAAATACAATACAAACAAAAGGGCTGGGGGAGTGGTGAAGTAGTAGGGTGCTTGCCTATTACAGGTAAGGCCCTGGGTTTACTTCACAGTACCTCAAAATTTTTTTTGTAAAATCTTTTGAATTTTCTGCATATGCAATCACATTATTTATTGTTTTTTCCTTTCCAATCCTTATGCTCTTTTCCCTCACTGAACCAGCAATGCCTTGCAATACAATGTTAAATATAAGTGGTGATGACAGATATACTTGTCTCATTCCTAATCCTGGGCTCAAGCAATTCTGCTGCCTTGGACTCCCAAGTAGCTGGGACTGTAAGTGCATACCACCTTGCCTGGCCAGATACTGATTTTTAACAATGGACTTTCCTACATATATTAAGCTCACACCCTTTATTCTGTTAATGTGGTAAACTACATATATTAAGTTCTGAATGTTAAATTTTATTTGCTTTTTTTTCTGGTGGTACTGAGAGTTGAACTCAGAGCCTTGTGCTTGCTTGGCAGGCACTATAACTGCCAGGCCTTTTTGCACTGGTTATTTTTGAAATAGGGTCTTGTTTTATGCCCAGACTGGCCTGCCATTGGTTGAGATGGAGGGGAGAGGGATATCTTGTGAACTTTTTGCCTGGGCTGGCCTCAAACTGCAATCCTCTCAATCTCTGCCTCCAACTACCTAGGATTATAGGCGTGAGCCACCATGCCAGGTCCTGAATGTTAAAATTTATATTACTAGAGTGACCCTAATTGTGACATATTCATCTTTCTACACATTCTTGTATTCATTAGCTAACATTTTGCTCAGGATTTATGCAACTACATTGTAAGACAATATACTGGTTAAGACAGATTGATCTTTTCTGAAATATCTTCGCAGGTTTAGATAACAAAGTCCTGCTGGCCACATAAAACTGGGAAGTATTACTTTTTTGTCTCTTTTCTCTACAAATATTTTGTGAAAAACTGATAATAATTAGACTGGGTTTGGAATTTTCTTGGTGCAAAATATTTTAATATGGATTTAATTTCTATTCAATTTCTTCTTTTTTTGGTTTTGGTAAACTGTTTTTTGAGGAATTTGACCATTTCATGTGAAATTTAAAATTTAGTGTCATAAAGTTGCTCATAATATTATCTCATTCTTTAAAAAACTCTTTAGTATTTATTTTTCCTGCACTGGGATAGAACTCAGGGCCTTGACTACGCTAGGTAAGTGCTCTACCACTGACCCGTATGTCCAGTCTCTTTAGGATTCTTGATAAATTCGTGCCTGTTTCCTTTTTTGCTTATCAGTCTTATTTAAGCATTTTATGAATTGTATTGTCTTTTAAAAGAACACTGGCCTTGTCAAATTTCTTTTTTATTTTGTATTCCACTAATTTCTGTTTTTTATATTTTTGATTTGCTGTCCTTAACTTTTTTCTAATTTCTTGAGCTATGTATGTTTCTTTTAGATGTGTTTCAGGATTGCATGTTTCCCATGGCTTTTAGGTACATTCCACAATTTCTTTTTTGTCCTGTTTTCAATTTTAGTCTATTCCAGGTATTTTAATATTTGCATGACAATTTCAACTTTGACCCAGGGGTTGTTAGACATGTACTGATTAATTTCTAAATATTTGGGAATTTCTAGCTTTATTTTTGTGATTTTAGTCCTCTGAAATTTGTTTGAGATTTCTTGCATAGCTCCAAAATGGTTAATTTTGATAAATGTTCTACATGTACTTAAAATAATGTGTATGTAGTAGTTTATGGATACAATATTCTACCTAAGTAAATTAGGTCAAGTTGGTTAACTACTTATTTATCTATTACTGAAGAAAATACGTTAAAACAGTCCACTAAAAGTATAAATTCATCTGCTACTTTTTAGCTTTGCATTTTTTCAAGGAAGGTTATTAGATATATATACAAATTTGACTTCGCAATCACTGCTGAATCTCAAAGCCTACAAGTCTGGTAAATTTATGCAGCACAAAAGTGGCTGTAGTGTGCTATTTATCTTAGGGTTCCTGCTTTCACTTAGATTTTGTGTTATTTTGCCAGACTGTTAATACTTTTAGGAAGATTAAAAAAAAAAAAAAACAACCAAACATTTTTACTGTTTTTAGTGAAGTTGGGCTAAATACCTGAGACTAAAAAATTGAATTAAAAAAAAAAAGATTCTCAAATGATTATAATTTCTGTTCTAAGACTTTTTTACCTCCTAATTTCAACTTATCATTCTCCTAATGGAGCCCAATTCTAAAAAAAACTCATACATCATCATTAATAGCTACTTTAGCTTTGTAAGAATTAATCTCTAAATCATTTAAGTAGGCTTTTCCAACTCTAAGGCTGATGACGGTAAGTTTGAGAAAAGTAGGAAAATTTAAGTTTTTTAAGTGTAAGTTATAAAAAATTCTAATTATATGTATTAGGCATCTTTTAGGTAAAAAGAATTTCTGATAAACTCTTCAGTGGTTTGCTTACCGGAAAACCTCAAGAGGGGCAAAGACAGTAGCAATGATGTCCCCAGAATGAGGCAACAAAGACGTGGTGGTGAATGAGATTTGGATAGTCCAAGCAAAGCGCAGTATCACATCCTCTATGATAGCACAGTAGTAGTAGGCCTAAGGAACAATAAGCAGGTTGAGTGTGCTTCCCATCACTTTTCTCACAAAGCATCATACCTATCAACAGTAAGACTCACATGTCCCATGAACAGACTCAAGAGGAAGAGTTATATTCTAATTTGCAGAGTATATATATTTTACTTTGGAAAGGTTTCACCAACTGAGTTTTCTTTTAATTAGTACAGTTTTAATTGATACAGTAGTCATAATGAAGTAATACTGAGTTACAGTAATCATTTAACAAATATATTTTGTATGAACCAGACTTTCTGCCAGTCCCCAGAAATATAAGCTAAATGAGGACCTTAATCAATTAAGATTATATTCTAGCAGGAACATATATGCCAATGACTAAGAATATTAGCAGATTTATTAACTGTGCTATCTGCACTCATGCTTTCAAATTGCCTTGTCCTGTATTTGAAGAAAGCTCTGCTTTGCTTTTTTTTGATGTCAGTAAGTGAAATGAAGCTTGGCTTTCATAAACATGGTTGAACTTAAGAAATGTTCTATTTTTACATGGGGAAGACAGTCCTCAACTAATACTTCCAGGTGCTAGTACCCAGGATTTAGGAGTCCAGATTAGCTAACCAAAAGTCTTAACTACACAAACTGCCAATAGCTTCCAAACTTCATAGATTTGTTCATCATTAATCAAAATTATCTCTTTAATATGTATTTAAAGGCTGACACAATGCTGGAAACTACATCTGCTTTGTATTAAGCCATAATATTTATTTTATTTAATTTTAACAAAGCAGTATAACTCTGTTAAAGGGCTATTCACAAAACAATAATCTCCTTGCCACCTTCTTTTTCCATTCACCAGGGACAAACATTTTCAAAATATGTTATTTCTTTTATTATTTACCTCCCCATTTTTAAATAATGTGTATTCTCTGCTATCTTCCTTAGTCAATTTTAGACCTTATCCACTCACTACTGATTACTATAAATTTTGTGAGAATTGTTACGAGGATTTTAAAATGTCCACACACCTCCCTGTGCCCTATTCCACCATCCTTCCAATAGAATAATGCATTTGTATTGTTTTATTTTATTGTTAAATCCACAATCAGCACACACATTACTAGCCCCAAGTGAAGGACTACAATTTCATGTACCTTTAATGGAGTCAGTCTTAACCTATCCAAAGTTGACTGGTATGGGAGCTGATATGAAAGACTTTCAGGAGGAATCCATATTACTTGAGATCAAGAGGCACAGAAAAATTAAGTTTGAATATGGAGATAACACAAACGGTTCCTTGACCTGGGGTGTGGCACTCAATGTTATGAACTGCTAGCCCTTAGGAACGGACTTCACACTGTTGTGTTATTACTTTCTTATGAAGGTTCACTGGACTCCACAAATGGCTTCTTCATTTGTAGGTAAGTATGTACCTATTTCTTAGGGTCATGAATATGAGTAATAACAAAGAAAATGACTAAAAGATTCTACTCACTAATTTCATTTTGTAGAAATCAATAAATCAAAATTATCTTAAAAAGAAAATGGGTTAACATATATAAATATTCAAACAATTCTAAGCAATCATCATAATAAGAAACAAAGAAACAAATACAGCTCTCACTAAAGCAAGAATAATATATGCTGGAATAAAAACATGCACCTTTTGTAGTGAGTACAAAAAGGCCATCTTTATCTGAATTCATGCCTACTCCAAGCTGGGGATTGAACTCAGGGCCTCATACATGCTAGGAAGCACTCTACAACTGAGTGATGCTCTCACCCCCCTACTGATTTCCTTTTCAAATGAGCTTTATAAAACTGTTTAATTTATACTAAATTTTCACATTGGGATTATTGCTATGGTTTAGGTGAAACAGAGATCACTGTCAGTGAATACCTTCTTTCCCCAATCCATCTGCTCATCCAAAGTCACCTTATATGTCATTCTTCATGTTCACTCTCCTATCGCTTGAAAACAGCCTTCTCTACACAACAATTAAGTATTATGCATTCACAGACTTTTCAAAGGCACTGGTAACATTTTGGTATAATATAAAATATTAGTGACCTAATCAATACTTTCTTCATAACAGAATTTTAGACATGGGAATATATTAAGAGATATATAGTCTAATTCCCCTACCTTTTAGAATCTACCATAGTTTGGTTGCCTAAAGATATAGCTAGTTAGTAAAATACCTGGGATTAAAATTCACATATTAGGATTCCCAGTTCATTGTTTAATTTCTTTCAAGGTCTAATCATGGGTTCTGTCCTTTACAAATACATACTGAGTAAAGGTTATTTTTGGTATTTTGACTTAAATTCAGCCTGTCTTATCCTTTTATTCACATGTAGATAAAACCCTTAAATAATTCCTATAGAATGATCTGTATTTTCTTTTTTTTTTTCCCCCTTACACCCCAAATGATCCGTATTTTCTGATTGGCATTTGACTGTAACAAATACTGGTTGAAATAAATAAGAGGAGAATCCCATGCAGCCAAGTAAAGCCAGGCACTCCCTTTCTTATAGTTGTTCATAAGGCTGCTCCTTCAGTCAAATAGGTATTCACTTATTCCATATACATTAAGTGTACTTCACACCAGAAACTATGCTATGCAGATACAGACATCCAAACAGATCATCATAATACAATGTACTATTTGCAATGATGGAAGTTTACGTATGTAAAAAGGGTTAGTACAGATGGCTAAATATGCTAGGAAAAATAAATTCTTCTTAAGAGTTATTTATTCTTCTATTCTAGTTTTTATTACATTGTGTTGCACGTGTTTAAAATATAGTTTATGGCCTCCTGGAGAAACACAATTTATTTTGCTTATACTCCCTATAGTAACTATCATATAGTAAGTATCTGATACGTCGTTTTCTGACTGAATAAGTGTTTTTGGTAATTCTATTTCTAATTATATTAGATTAATATACAGAAATTAGGTCTGTATTACAATAGGATTTAACTAATGATAGATCTAAGTTGTTGTTGTTTTTTTTTTTTAAAAAAAAAACCCAAATGCAAGCATTTTGTACATACTTTCTGAGGATACACAATCTCTTCCCGGAGGAAAGTGTTTTCTCCAGCATTCTTATCAAAGAGACCCCAGTCCATCTTTAGATCCCAGATGAGGGTGTAGCAGGAACTGATGATACAAAACACAATCCACAGGTAAAAGAACACCATGGTGTCCGAGTGACTTCGTTCTGAAGAAAGAAAGAGAAAATTAACAGACTTAAGCAAAATTAATTAAATGAAGCTAAGTAAAAAAAAAAAAAATTACTCCTTTTTTGTAAAATAGTGCTTTAAACAGATTAAACTCCCCCCATTACTTATTCTTTCTCTATCACTCTGCTCCCCTATTATTCAACAGCTTACAGTGCATTACTTTGTATTATATTCATATACAGATGGGATGTTTCAATTTTTTTTTTGCATTCACAATGTCTTATGTATTTACATACATGTATACACATTTTTTTGCACCATATTCACCCTCCTACCCCCTTCCCTTTCCACTTCCCCCCTCCCTCCCCTAGGCAGAACCTGTTCCGCCCTCTCTGATTAAAATAAATTCCTAATAGTGCCCCATAAAGGAAGTAAGACTTTTAAACAAATCTCCTTAGTAACTCCTTGGAGTTTGGAGGCTCTTATGTTGAATACACAAAAATTCAAATGCAATGGATATTCTGAATGTTATGAAGTGTCATTTTAATTTTTGCCATCAGGTGGCAGCTTAGGGTAAAAGATAAAAAAATTCTGGAAACATCACTAACAACGAATGTGCTACATTTGCTTCAAGAAATTTTTGGGTTGTCTTTACTTTTGAACAAAACTTCCTTCACACACTTAGATCTTGTCGATACTTATTGTGAAGGCAATCAGAAAATTCTAGATAAGATATCAGAAAGCAAGAGACCAATGAGGCCCATGAGGAATTTATTCATGAAAGTAAATTTCTCCGTCACAAAGCAAGGTGTAATATGTTTGCTTCTTTTAGAGGGTGCTTATTGATACAAAGGCCTCATCTAATTTTATGCTGAAAGCACAATATTTTTGGCTTTATTGTGAGAACACTATAAAGCACAATAAATCAGAAAAAAAAGATTTCAAATGTAGTTATATAATTTAATCTTTCAAAAGACTATTTATTAGCATATATTAATTGTACAGGGGGTTTTCACTGTGGCATTTCCATCTATGCTCACAATGTACGTTGGTTAGGTTCATACCCTCCATGACTCTCCGTCACCCTTCCTCCCTCTTCCTAAAACAATTTCAACATTTCATTGTTCTACTTTCATACAAGCATATAAAAACACTGACCAAATTCATTCTCCTTTGCCCTCTCCATTCACCACACACACACTAGCATCCACCCCCAACAGGACCTGTTTTACATTTCTGTCCATTTTCTGAAGGATCTAGTTATTGTTCAAAGGGGCATTTCACACATGAATATACTGTGCTTTAATCAGATTGCCCCCCCAATTACTCTCTTTCCCTATCCTCCCTAAACCCTATTATTCAATAGTGCTCAGTATATTTTGTTATGCCATCTTCTTACACAGATGTAGTGTATTTTGAATTTAATCTTTTTTGGTTCTAAGTACTTCAAATGTTCTCTGAAATTCTTTGATAAGCTCCAGAATCATCACAATGCTATAAGTATTCTCTAGGTGCAAGATACGGGTATATAACTGCTAATCTGGCTTTCAATTATCAGGGGAAAAAATGATGCACAACACCTAATTCAAAAAAAGTTGAAATTTTGGTCAATTTTCTAAAGGTACTGAAAGCAAAGGCTATATCATGCATTATCCATAGTCTTTCCTATTAAAATAAACAAGTGCTTACTAATCATTTTAATGTTATGATTCAAAGGTAATTGTCAGAAATTTATAATCTAGCGAGTGAAATAAACAAAGTGCTATAAAAACATTAAGGAGAATGGGAATGTTTCTAACAATAGGCAGTAAGAGGAAATAGCATTTGAGTTATTTCCAACAACAGAAATAAATAGTACTGCAAAATCCAGGCAGATGAGATGAGGTCATTCAAGGCTGAAGGAGATAATGAAAAGGTACAAGACAGGAAAGTACAAGGAATGTTGGAAAAGCTAAAAGTAACCTACATCTAGAATAGGTGACATACAGAGGATGTAAGGGATTTTGTAATGAGACTGGGAAAGACACTGAGCCTGATCATGGAATGCCTTCTTGAGCCTTAGGGTCATATCTATATTTTAGAAAAATAACTGTCTGGCAGGTTATTTGCATCAGAATTATTTAGCTGTTTAAAAAAAATGATACTTCAGAGCTCCAATTTTTATACTAGTCAGTTTGTACCAGCTCATGAGAGTCTGTTTGTTAAATTTTCAGAAACTGTGGAAGGTGGTTCTTGGACACAGTTATTAAAAATTAAAATAACTAGCTATGTTAAAAATAAAGCTAATAAGCATGTGAAATTCATCATTCCCTAGTCATTGTATTAAATTTTGCTACTATCTTTCTTCTGCAGTTATATATATATATATATATATATATATATATATATATAGTAGATATATGTATATCTACATATATCTACTTATATGATGGAAATACTATGTATCTTTTCCCAACTCCACATTCAAGAGCTGGTTTATTAAACATATACCAACAAATCACTATTTAACTAGAAAATCAGTGGAGGGACAGCAACTGGTATTTAAAAAATGGCTCACAAGTGATTCTCATGAATAGTCCAGTTTGCATATAAACTTATTTTCAGGTTTAAATTATCTTCATAAAAACATTTTTCATCAAAGTCATATTAGGTTAAATATTTATACTACAATATTTCATTTATACAAAACATGAATATGTGTGTATTACTATAAACTCCAGATTATACAGAAATAAAGTGAGTTCCACTAAAAAAAGATGCTATAATTCATCTATTCAAGTTTGTAAAGAAGCAATTCAGTACTGTTCAGGGCTGAGGATGTGGGTCAGTGGCACAGCACTTGCTTACCATTACAAGGCACCTAGGTTCAATCCCGAGCACTGCAAAACATGCACATACATAAAATCCAAACAAGTAAAATTTATCCATCTTGTATTTCCAAAGTAAGCTAACCTAACTGCAAATTATATTAGCAGCTTTTAAAACTGGAAAGCTTACTATGTGCCACACACTCTACACATATTACTTTAACTTTCCCAATGATACGCTATTTTTTTGTTTGCTAGTAAAAGTGAGGACATGAAACTAGAGAAACAGATACATTCAGTAGGAGGTCACAAAATGAGTATTTCTCAAGTGAGTATAGGTAGTATCAAGTCTTATTACTGAAAGCTGATTTTCTTTCGTCCGTTACTAATTACTGAAGAAATAATTGAGTGCAAATTACAATATTAAAGGCAATTACAAAAAAGTTAAATAAAAATGAATTAATAACGAAACTGAAAGCAATGTGCTAATTTTCTAGTATTCCTAGATTTTAAGTCTTATCCTTACAGTGTAATTCTTAAAATGGTATAATGGGTCAAGCGTCTCTGTCTTTTCTAAGCTCATATTATTCTGTGAAAATTTTATGAAACACACATGAGAACTTACTGACTTTTAAATAAACAAATATTCTTATAGAATATTTCAGAACTATGACTGAGCCTAGAATCCAGCAAATCCTGGATCAATTACTATAACCTAAGAAAAAAAAAATCAAACCACCAAATTATGAGATTAATTATTATTCTCTGAAAAATGAATTAATGTAAGAATGGTCTCCAGTGTACAATGGTTTGACTTATGGACTTATGATGATATTTTATCTTATGGACTTCTTTAATACACCTGGTGTATGTATGATACATTTTAGTCTTATTTTAATTAGTATTCTCATTTGATCTTTCCCATCTTCCAATGGAGAATGCCGTTCCCTGAAACCATTGGTATTCAAAGGATATTATCACTTTAGGCAAGCAATTACATCATATTCTCTCTTGGCTAACCCCGGTAGTCCACTTTAGCAATGTTCAAAATCACAGAAAATAAGGCCATTGCTATTCTATACTAAGCTTCTATTTATTACACATCTGCCACTTTAGAAACATAATCCATATTGGACATGTTCATGGTATTGGTATCTACTGAATCTAAGACAAATAAAAATAAATTTCTTAAAAGGTTTTGTCCTGACAGCCATTGTAGCAATGGTGAAATGAAATAACATGTCAGGAAACGTGATAAGAGAGAAACCAGGAAAATTACATATAGAAATCATCCTGAACCATGTTTCTTTCAGGAAGGATATTTTAAAAATGAAAAAAGTGACACCATGTGAAGAAAGAAAGTGAACAGTTTTCTTTTCACCTAAAATATTTCTACTCTGGTAATTGTTTATTAGTTTTTAATATGAACTTAAATAAGAAAATAAATATATAGTGGACATTGTTTTCAAAGCCCAAATCTATAGAACTACGACTGAGCCTAGCATCTAGCAAATCCTGAATCAATTACCATAATCTAAAAAAAAAAAAAATTAAACCATCACATTATGAGAATTAATATTGTTCTCTGAAAAATGAATTAATCTAAGGATGGTCTCCAGTGTACAATGGCTTGACTTTGCTTTTCTGACTGTATAATAACATAAAAACCATATGTATTCAGAAAAAAATATACTTTGCATTTTGACCTGTTCTCAGGCTAGTGATATGCAGGATGATACTCTTGTGATGATAGGGAGCAAGAGCAAGCACAGCTCTAGTCAATTGTGAGTCCATGAATTTAAATAACGATGTTCTACAGTATATTGCTTACTAACCTGTGATATTTTTAATCTAGACTCTGCCACTTCCCAACATTGTGATTATGGAAACTTCACACTCTTAAAATGATTGAGACAAAAAAATGGAACTTACTAGGCCGAAAGATAAAAGGGGGAACCAGAAATAAGAATCCTTATCTAAGAAACATTTTGTGCTAGTGTTGGTTCTCCGCTGTTAAAATGGAAATACAGTCCCACAAAACTATAAAGTAACTTTGTTTAGCGAGCAGGAGGCTCTGGATTCAATCCTCACAACAAAAACAAAAAATTGTTCTGTTTTAAAACAAAACTCCCAAATTATACACATTATTATTTCATATTGTGTATAAATTTATGCTTATAGAAAAAAGATAAAGGTAGTTATCCCCAATGAGGGACAAGATTAAGGGAACT